GGCAGGTGTTATCTTTACTGCACCGGTGCCAAACTCCTGGTCCACGGCGATATCGAAAACGAGTGGAATGGTGTCATCACGGAAGGGATGCTTTAGCTTCACCTGGTCAATGTTTCGGTACTTGATGTATCGTGGATCGAGCGGGTGTACTGCGACAGCTACATCGCCCAAAACGGTCTCTGGTCTAGTGGTAGACACCACAATCTCTTCAACTGAACCATCGGGCAGCGTTTCTCCATCCACTACACGATAGGCGAAATCATAGATCCTGCCAAAGAGCACATTGTGTTCGTAGCCGGGAACGGCCAGCTCAATCGGCTCCTTGATGTCGACAACATCCACCTCGATATCAGATATGGCCGACCGTAGAGTGGTGGACCAGTTGACAAGCGAATGGCGCCGGTGAATTAGACCTTCGTCAAAGAGCCGCTCGAAAGCTACGTTGACCGCATGCGCCTGCTGCTCATCCATTGTGAAGTATTCTCGTTGCCAATTGAGCTTGCAGCCAAGTTGGCGGAGATCCTGCACGATACCTGCACCCTTTTCCGCCTTCCAGCGCCACACTTCGTCCAGAAAAGCCGCACGTCCTAGTTCCTGACGGGTTTTCGCCTGAGAAGCGGCTATAGTGCGTTCCACGACCACCTGGGTGGCAATTCCCGCGTGATCTGTGCCTGGTATCCAGTCCACCTGGTAGCCGAGTTGTTCGCGCTGGCGGGCAATCACATCCTGCACGGTGGCCATTAGTGCGTGGCCCAAATGCAGATTCCCGGTCACATTTGGCGGCGGCAGAAGCATGCGATACGTGCCCCGCCTGCAACTGCTGGCCGAAGCCTTGGGCAGATTTGCCTGGCGCTCCTCCCGCTCCCAGTAAGCATTTTCCACTGGCCGAGGCTTGTATCCTGCTGCCAACGAAAGCTTCTTGTCCGCATCTGAAATTGAAAAGATATTAAGTCCCCCAACCGGCACTTGGTTTTTGAATGAAACTGGAGGTAACGCACCTTTAAGGGTACTGTAGTATAGGGAGTACACCCTTGGCTGGCATAGGTACTTGTGTCTGAGCAGTTTACTGCTGCAATTCCTAATTATTTGCATTTCTAATGATGTGTTATGTTATGTCAAAAAAGTAGTTGTAATCTTAGCGGTGGTGGTATAAAAACAGCTGTGGAATAATCGATATATGGATTTTAGGCGCCAATTTCAAAAGAGATAACGGTAGAGCTTTCCTCCTCAATTTTTTTTTTACAACTTTTTCATTATTTATTTGATTTGTCACAAAAGAAAGTTATCTAAAATAACTCACAGGCTACGTATACGAAAATCACGATCCAAGCTAGTTATTTTTTTTAAATATAAAAGATAGAACAATTTTATTAAGAAACCATGAATTTTAAGAACCCAAACATACAGAAGAGTACATAGAAAATGATCATTTTCAGGCATTGACACTGCATGAGCTGTAATGACCAATCAGGCGATCTGCTTCCCGATAGCCCGCCTCAACAGCTCCGTGAACGGTGGAGAAGTAATTCCTGCTGGACGCCTCTCCGGCAAAAAGGAGGCCCAAATGACCATCTTCGCCCAGCACAGGAGACTCCAGATCCCAGGGGCCCGTATTCCTTTCATCGGCCTTGGTGGGCCGAAGACTCCAACTGCCACGAAAGTTCGGATTCGAAAACCACTTGCTGCGGACGAAACGCTTCGGCGGTGGAATTTCAAAAGTGAGGAACTTTCGGAAGAGCCAGTCCAAGCCCTCCAGCACTTTCTCATCGGACAGGTTTTCCATGTGGCGTCCATGCGGACCATTCACCCAGGCCATCAACATTCGTGGCTGACAAGTGATCATGTGAACACCGGTTATACCCTCCACCCAGAAATGTTCCGTCTTCCGCAGCTCTTTCAGATCCTGTTCCAGCCAAAGGCAGAAGAAACCCACCCAACCATCAGGAAAAGGTTGCTTCCCGTACTCCAAATACAGTTTGTTCACAGTGCCGAGGGTGAGGCCTCGAATGGCATTCACCTTGGCTGCGGGAAGCGGTGGGGTGAACAGCTTCTCGTGCTGCTCCTGCAGGACTCCCAGGGAAACGGTGCAGATGACGTGATCCGCCTCAAAGTAATCCCCATCCTGGCATCGCAGGATCACCTTGCGGGGGCACGCCAACTCGATCTTGGTGACCTTCTTAGCAAGTTGAATGCGGCCTTCCAGCAAGCCTAGCTCCTCTGGAGTATCCTCGCTGACCTTCATTAGCAGGCGCAGGAAGCGCCGGTAGCCCTTCGTTCCCCAGTGGAGCAGCTTGTCGCCATCACATTCGTGGTACTCGATGTGTTCCCTCACGGAGACCTCGAACAGATTGTCCGCTCCAATAATGGAGCATTCGTGCTTCGCAAACGTATTCAAGGCCTCACTAGCCACATCCCTATCCACTTGGGGTAACTCGGACTCGATCTTGCGCCAGTAGGTCTGCGTCAGGTGGGTGCCAAAGGAGCCGAGAACCGGATGAGGTCCACTCGGCATGCTCCTCACTGCAATGTCGTGAATGGTGGAGGCCAATTCATGCGGAAGCACCTCCTTGTTGGATCTCACCCTCTTGATGGTACAGTAATAGTCGCCCGTCTCGTGCAGGATACCCATATCCTTGACCATGTCGTACACACAATTTTTTTGCTTTCCATGACACCACTGAGCTCCCATATCGATCACATTGTCACCAAAATATACGGTGTTAATCCGACCGCCAATGCGATCCTCCGCCTCCAGGATTTGGATATTCCGGAAATTGTTCTGCAGGAGGCGAGTGGCGGCGGCTATCCCCGAAACTCCTGCCCCGATTATTATTATCCTAGAGGAGGTACGGCATTTTTCCATCCTGAAACGTTGGTAGTTAGGTTCGACCGAAAGAGCAGACGATCAACGAGCTACTGATGAAGTTTTCAAGTTTGTGGGCCAACTTGGCAAGTGTTGCTGCATTTAAATGGCTTCCTCTGCGGTTGGAGCTCAACTTGTTGCACACTTTGCATGTTGGGACCCACAAAAATGTAACATTGAGAATCCGGGTCACAGAACACAAAAGTGGTTTAAAGCATAATTGTTTCTACTTTTATGAGCTAATATGCTCCATAATGGTTTAATGATTGATGATGGTCTAATGGTTTATAATTAATTTAAAAGTTGCATTTATTTATTGTAAATTAAGGAATTGATGCTCTGATATTAAAGAATGCTGAACATTCCATTTTAAATTCATTAAATTACCGATTTCGAATACAATAGGTTCGAACTCGATAGTTTACGGTGCTGCCAACCCATTAAAACTGAAGTAAGCAATTCAGCCCTGGAAGCTATCGACTCAGTGCGATAACGATAGAAGGCTACGCAGGCAGAAACAACAACAACGTCCCAAGCAAAGAAAATGTATTAAACCCTTGAAAAAAGCAAGAAAATCCATAAAAATTGCACCCAACTAGGAATTAGACGTCACTCCCAACACAAGCATGGCCTCCGCTACGGTAAGAAATGTATGTATGCCGCACTAACACCTAACAACCAGCTTTATTGGGGTGCCATTCTGACAATGCGATCCGAGGTTTTCCACGAAAAACTCCCATTTTACATAAAGACAAGCCGATTTAATCCCACATACGTGTTATACAGGTGCCGCTGCTCGACGATGACACGATACCCTTTGGCGAGGAGGACGAGATGCGGGATCCCAGTCGCGCGGGCCAGAAATACACGTAGGCAGAACCATGGTGTTTGTTGATCAATTCCATTAACCCCCGACCAACCCAACGCGTGTACTCCACAGGCACCCGTACGTCACCTTCTTCCACCTGTTCTTCAGGGGCGCCGCCATCGTGATCTATATGTTTTGCGGTTGGTTCAGCGAGTCCTTCATCACCAGCTTCGTTTTTGTGGTGCTCTTCCTGTCCGCCGACTTTTGGACGGTAAAGAACATCTCGGGGAGATTGCTGGTCGGTCTCCGCTGGTGGAACTATGTCGACGACGATGGCGTATCGCACTGGGTGTTTGAGTCAAAGAACGTGAGTCACGAGATTAGCTTACTAGATTGCCCTCGATAATGAAACGCAGTCTGAATCCTACCAGAGTCGGGTCAACAAGAACGAGCAGCGCATCTTCTGGCTGGGACTCATACTCTGTCCCGTCTTCTGGGGCCTCTTCTTCCTGTTTGCCCTATTCGGCCTGAAGTTCAAATGGCTACTGCTGGTAATGATCGCCATTGCGCTGAATGCCGCCAATCTGTATGGTTACGTCAAGTGTAACTATGGTGCCAGCAAGGATCTGAACTCCGCCGCCACAGACTTTGTGAAAACGCAGCTCTTTAAGAATGCCGTGGACATAATGACAAGGCCCAGTGGCGCCCCGCCGCCAACCAATGTGCGTCCAACGGGAGTCGTTTAACCTGGAGGAGATTCAATTTACTAAATCACCTTGCCACCGTCTGCTGCGGCGCATTCCAAAGAGTATTTGACGCTTCTTCTGGCCCGGACCACGACCTTGGATCGGCATCGCTGTCTTTGTACCATATGTAAAACTTAATTTAGCCATACTGCAATCTATCATAATCATTTCTTACTTTTACTTGGATTAAAGGACCGCATGTGCGTGTGACATGCAACCAGTATGCAACATAGTTTTATTTTGTTGGTTGTTTAGTAACATATTTAAGAATATCTTGATGTTAAAAGGGATTTAAGTCTCAATATTGTATATTTCTTATTTTTATTTTAACAACAAGTACAAGTACCAAAAACATTTGTAATTAGTTTTGCAGACCGTAAGAAAAGTTCTAAGAAAACTATTTGAAGTTATTCGTTGGTTTTATTTTTGGTTTTAAAAAAATGTTTGGCCTGTATATTTAAAGATAATACGTAAAGACATTTATAAATTGTTTCTTAATTTATATCTAAAAAACTTCTTTAAAAGCGGCAATAACGGTTCATAGCCGAAACGCAGTGTGGTAGTGCTTACCGCAGCTGAGCTTTCTGGCTCAGCAAGCGACGGGCACACTGGCGCAAAGCACAAAACAGAACAGTCGGACGGAAACGGAATCGAAGAGAAAGAAAGAAATGCAATCTGTGCCGTAAGCGGGGGCGTGGAATCATAGTTTTGACAGCCAGGAGCGAGTCATTCATTGTTAGCTGCAGACCAGCAGTGCCGAAAAACCGCCGAATCCCCGCCAGAGCCGGTGACGTACGCACTGCTGTGTGTTCAAAAAAGGGGACTCGAAAGGCGGGATAACCGTGGCGAAGAAGGGTGGAGGTGGAAGAAGGCGTCGACAGAAGCAATCAAGTGGCAACAGAAGATAGCCGGGGCAAAATGCAAAAAGTTAATTAGTCGGGGCAAAATCAAATCGGACACCCCGCCGTGGGGCGACGCCATGGAATTCGCCGACCTGATAAAGACCCCCAAGCTGGACGGAGTCCTGCTGCACGACCCATCCAATGCGGGGGCGACGGGTGCAACAGTTGGCACACTGTGCATCACTGGACACCATTTGCTACTCAGCGCCCGCCAGGAAAACAGCCAGGAGCTATGGGTAAGTGGGTTGAGGCCGGCTCCCCTAATCCGATGTGCTTCGGCTTCAATGGAGCGCTAATAATTGAATTGGAAATACATCATGCACACCCCCCGGCCTTTTCAGTTGCTGCACAAGAACATCGACTGTGTGGAGAAGAAGCCTAGTTTGTCGCAGAACATCGTGGTCGGTGGCCTTATCACCCTGAAGTGCAAGGACCTGCGTATCATTTCGCTGGAGATCAAGTGCGGCAAGGAGTTCTACAACGTGGCCGCATCGCTGGAGGCACTCAGTGCCATCCAGAACACCGAACTGCTGTATCCATTTTTCTACCGGCCCATGTACTCGATCCTAGAGGACGGCTACACGATGTTTAGGTAAGTACATGCCTTCTCCATAACCGGCAAATTGGCTACAATTCAATTAACCTCCCCATCCAAACGGCAGGCCCGAGCTGGAGTTCGCCAAGCTCATAAGCGGGGTGGGCATGGGCGGTGGGTCCTCGCCGAATGTGGCCAACATAACAATTTGCATGCCATCAACCTCGACATCGACGTTGACTGTGAGCGCCGGCATACCCCACCCTCTGCAAAATGGCTTTGCGATAGACGCCCTTGCTGGCGGTGGTGTTGGTAGTGGTGTGGGAGGTGGAGCGCTTCAAGGTCCCCAGACCTCCTGCGAGTGGCGCATCACCAACGTCAACAGAGACTTCAGCGTCTGTGCCACATATGGTGCCACGCTAATTGTACCTAAAGCAATTACGGACGAGCAAATAGTGCTATCTGCTGCGTTCCGGGATGGCGGCCGCTTTCCCGTGCTCAGCTACAGGCATGAAAATGGCGTAAGTCATTGCATTTACCCCAGCGAATTCTATTAAATTAACTCAATGATTCATATTTGCAGGCCACGCTGATGCGCAGCTCCCAGCCGCAGTCCATTCAGGGTATCAAGCGCTGCAGAGCTGATGAGGCTATCCTAAATCTGGTGCTGGGTCGCAGTCGCAAGGGGTTCATCGTGGACACCTGGGGAAAGGGGAAGTCAAATACGGAGACTGACCTGCACTACTCGCAGTGGAAGAAGGTAAACCGTTCGATTGGAAACGTCAGTTCGCCCGCCTCTATCCTGGACAGTTTTGCTCGGCTGATCGAGGCTTGCAACGATTTGGGGTGCAGTACGGATAAGTGGCTATCGCGACTGGAAAGCAGCGGCTGGCTTAGTCTCGTGCTGAACTCTCTGAACGCCTCTTGTGTGGTGGCCCAATGTCTGGATCAGGAGGGAAGTCCAGTGTTGGTGCACGGTGCTAAGGGGTTGGATTCCACGCTTATCGTCACCTCACTGGTGCAGATCATCCTCAATCCCGACTGCCGGACTGTAAGGGGGTAAGTCATAATCTTCCAATTGCCATGATTAAAATATTCATATTCGTATTTCATGTGCAGTTTACAGGCTTTAATAGAGCGTGAGTGGATCCAGGCGGGACATCCGTTCGCTTCCCGTCATCGCTTCTCATGCTATACACCAAATCAGACACGCAATAAGACATCTGGTGCCACCTTCGTCCTCTTTCTGGATTGCATTTATCAGCTTTACATGCAGTTTCCCTGCAGCTTTGAATTCAGCACTCAACTGCTGATCCTTCTATTCGAGCACAGTCACTTTTCGCAGTACGGAACTTTCCTGTGCGATTCAGAGCGCGAGCGGTACGAACTGAACGTGCACACCAGGACGACGAGCTTGTGGTCTTATTTGAACCGGCCTGATGTCCTTCAGACACTCTTGAATCCGCTGTACGAGCCCAACGCTAATGTGATATGGCCATCGGTGGCGCCCATAAGCTTAGAGCTGTGGAGTGGTATGTTTAAAAACTAAATAGATGAACTAGTGCTTATTAAGCATGCATTTCAGATCTCTATTTGCGATGGGTAATCGATCAACGTAGCTCAGCCACAGTTATGTCGCAAATTCAGGAACTTGTCACCCGCGAAAAGGAACTTAGAACTCAGGTAAGTCCAGTATAGTATAGATAGCGAAAAGCTAACTGAGGCCATTTACCTTTCAGGCCCTCAAACTGCGAAAACAAGCCTTGGAGCTCGGCCAGGAAGTCTCGACCCTCATGAAAAGTGGAAAAGATACATAGTCGGCTACCTCAGATGTTCTCTATATTTTAATCTCCTGCATGATATACACTTATTTTTGATACGTTCTGTTGCAAGATTTCGACAATTATTTAAGCACATAACAAACCTAATGTTAAGTCACTAAAAGTTCCATTTACAAGAAATTATGCTGAAGGAAAACGAAAATAAACAAGGTAATTAAATTATTAGGTAAACCATATGATCTGCTTTTGGATCAATTCAACACTCAATTTTAGACATACGTGTGTCCATTTTTACCAACTATACTTCTATTGAATAAGTTCAGCAAAGTAAATATAAACAGAAAACTTAAAGAGGAACTGCTGTAACTTAAAAATTTCCTTGTAAAACGCTCTCTACTCTCAGACTCAGATTAGGATTCGAAACTGCACAATGCAACTATTTGGGTCAATTTTTGACGCATTTACTTTTATGGAATTTTTAGCGCATAAGTCTCTGAAATTACCTATTTATAGTACTTACTTGTGTGTCAGTTATTTAGTGGCCAGAAGCCACGGATCAAATTAAGTATTATAAACTCAAAAGATTTGCCTTTTTCGAAATATTTGTATGTAAATTTGATTAAATCGCATAAATTTAAAGCTTCAAAAGCGTTTACATTAGAAATATGCTGTGCATGCGTTGGTATACCCAAAAACAAAAATATTGTACATTATATACTTATAAATGTTTGTAGTTGTTATCCATTGTGTGTTTATTTCGAATTGTGATAGAATTTGAAATGACCGAAATTTGTATGTAATTTATATTCATATTTACACTTATATTGTGCGTTTTTTGAGTAATTATCGCTTAAGTGCAATAAATACGTGTTAATTTGCAGATATCAGCTGTTTTTTATACCTGTTACTCGTAAAGTAAAAATACTAAATTCGTTGAAATGTAGCAGGCAGAAGGAAGCGTTTCCGAATATATAAAGTATATATATTCTTTATCAGGATCAATAGCCAAGTCGAACTGGACATGCCCTTCTGTCCGTCCGTATGAATCGAGGCGGTCAGGAACTACAAAAGCTAGAATGTTGAGATTAAGCATGCAGCTACCAAATGTTGGACAAAACTGCCACGGCCACATTTTTGTAAATGTTATATTTTTTAAACTTTTTTATTAGTTTTGTAATTTTCTATCGATTGGCCGAAAAACGTTTTGCCACGTCCACTCTACTGCCCACAAACTGCACAAAACTGCCACACCCACATTTTTGAACAATTTTTTTTTTCATTTCTTAATTTTATTCGCAATTTTTACCGATTTCCCAGAAAAATATGAAATTTCACTTTCGCACTTCCACTCGCTGAGTTACGGGTATCTGATAATCGGGGAACTCGACTATAGAATTCTATCTTGTTTCCATTTCAAATGGACTATGATACTATGAACATAGATATAATTCATAGCCAGCACAACATGAGAAAAAATAAAAGTAAAAAGTTGCCGTTTTGTACAAAGGAAATTTGTTTATTTTTGCTAGACTCATTTAAAACAACATTCTGTTGTTTCGGTTCACTATTTATTTCGCTGTAAAACGTATATAAAACTGACTTTAATCAAGTACAAATAATCCCCAATTTTCGATTGTACACAATCCTCGACAACAATAACAAAGTAATTTGAAGGAAAATGTGTTTCTCAAAGAATGCAAAATTAACGAAGGAAAGCTGACGAGAACATAGGGAAACGAGCTGTCCAATCGAAGTTGTCCGTGATCCTGTCTTAGTTACAAGCTTCGTCCTCCAAAAAGAAGAACTGACCGGAGCGTTTCTGTTCTGTGTCCTTAACCGAGTTGTTCTTGTTGATGCGGGGCCTGAAGTTGTTGGGATCGCGACGGAAGGTAATACCAAGCAATTCGAGGAAGCGGTTCATGCCATTCAGCAGCGACTGCGGCGAAAAGGCTGTCGTTTTCACTGAAGGCTGACCCTCAATCACGATAACACGGTCGGCGAGGTAGGTGGCCATGATGAAATCGTGCTCCACCACAAATCCAGTTTTCTTCGCGTGCAAAATGTAGCTAAAACGGCAAACCGTTAATATTTGTGTGCAGCTTTAAAGTCTATATAAAACATACCGTTTGATAACCTTGGCGGCCACCAGACGCTGCTCTGAGTCCAAGTAGGCAGAGGGTTCGTCGATGAGGTAGACATCCGCTGGCTTTCCAAGGCACAGAACCAGAGCCACTCGCTGCAACTCACCACCAGAGAGGTTCTGCACCTCCTGGTCCATGATTTCCTCAATTTTCATGGGCTTCATAACATCGGCAATAAACTGAGGATGCACGTAGGCGTCACGAATCTTATCGTGCAATAAATGGCGCACATGGTTCTGGAATTTCGGGGAAATCTTTTGCGGCTTGTACGAGATATTGAGCATTGGCAGCTCCACCTCGCCATCGGGTTGGAGGTTACCGGCCAGCATACGAATGAACGTCGTCTTTCCCGTACCGTTCTCGCCCAGGAGCACCAGGATCTCGGAGTCGCTAAAGTGACCCTTTTCCACCGTCAGTTCGAACTTGCCCAGGGTCTTGACCATGGCGGGATACACGTAGTGGTTCATGCGCTTGATCTCCTCCTCCGTAGCGGACTCAGAAACTTTGAAAGTTAGTGACTCAGTGCGGAATCGCATGTTTTCGGTGGGCACAAAGCCGTCGAGGAAAATGTTGATGCCTTCGCGCACAGAGAAAGGCATAGTGACCACACCGTAGCAACCGGGAACTCCATAAAGGCAGCATATAAAGTCAGACAAGTAATCCAGCACGGACAGATCGTGCTCCACCACGATGATAAACCTGCATAGAACCATGTCATTAATTTAAGCGCTGCCATAAAACTCTTCAACCTACTTAGTGGGATGCAGCAGTGATCGAATGGTCAAGGCAGCGTTCAGACGCTGCTTAACATCCAAATACGAGGACGGCTCGTCGAACATGAAGATATCTGCATTCTGTATGCACACCATGGCTATGGCAAAACGCTGCAATTCTCCACCAGAAAGCTGAGCGATCTCACGATCGCGGATGTGCGATAGATCCAGCATTTCACAGATCTTAGTCTGCAGCTCCCTCTCGTCCTTCTTATCCAGAAGATCGCCCACAGCGCCGCGTACCGCCTTGGGGATCTGATCTACATACTGCGGCTTGACCAGCGCCTTCAGGTTGTCCTCCAGGATCTTAGTGAAGTAGTTCTGCAGCTCAGAGCCGCGGAAGTAGCTAAGGATCTCCGTCCAGTCAGGCGGATTGGCGTACTTCCCCAAATTCGGTTTTTGCTTGCCCGCGAGGATCTTCAAAGCGGTCGACTTGCCAATTCCGTTCTGACCCACAAGACCGAGCACTTCACCGGGACGCGGAATGGGCAGACGATGCAGCTTGAAGGAGTTCTTGCTGTATCGATGCGTTGTGTGCTTCTCCAGATTGCTGGGCAAGTTAATAATAGTGATGGCCTCAAAGGGGCATTTCTGCGGATTAAAAGCACGGGTTATTCCGTGTATTATGGCAGTTGTATCTAAGTTAGCTCACCTTGACGCAGATACCGCAACCGATGCAAAGCTCCTCGGACAACGAGGCTATCTTGGACGTGGGCGTCACCTCGATGCACAGCTTGCCCATGCGCACCACCGGGCAGGTCTTCTTGCACTCCTGCCGACACCGCTTGGGCTTGCACTTGTCATCGCTGACGATGGCAATACGCGTCTGCTTGTCCACCTCCTCATTCTCCTTTCTGCGCGACATGCTGTTGATAGAAAATTATTCAGAATCGGCTGCGCTCTACTAATCAGTCGCCTATATGGTAATCAGTCCACTGTCAACGTTGCAAATCACACTCCCCGACCGTCAAAACAAATCTGGTGCACCGATTCGTGGGTGGGAGATCAGGGGCGAGGTGCCTGCGTTTGCCTATGAGTGAAAGTATAACCTCAAAGCGTGGCCAAAACAAGGGGTTTCCAGCGAAAATTTCTATTGTGCCTCATGCGTCAGGCGTTGTTCTTGAACTTCACGTTGACAGTGTGCTGAAATATTTGGAAATTACCTGCGAACTAGGCCGAAATTGTTGTAAAACAGACAGAAGGCACGCTCTTGCGTGTCAGCCAACAAGTTTCAAAAGGGGGGAGCTTTGATGAGTTTTTCAACACTACTACGAATGGGTATGGGCAATTGAAACTATCGATATCAAAAAGTAAGTTTGAATTTAGTTATGGTTGCTTAGAATTTATTAATGTTTTGAGCAGTTTTTTTTAATGTCCATAATCTAGACTCTAAAATTACTTATTAATAATACGCTCTACCATTATAAATGCATATATTTTCATTTCTTATTGGTGTATGCAAATTTAACACTTTTACAATTTCAGAACCAAAATCATTTAAATTTTTATTGAATTTATGGGTATCTTGCTTGTGTACTAATGTTTCACAAAATATATTTGGAATACGTTTTTTTTTAATTTTTTTTACAAACAAATTAAAAATTTATAATAGTATGCACATAGATTTTTCGGACTGAACATATATCTTTTAAATATATATAATAATATAAAAATATGTATCGCACGTGAACCGCTCACAATAATATCGATATTTGTGTTTTTGACAATCCCAATGGTCTTGCCATCACTAATTTTTACACGTCGTTGATTTGTGTGGACTACTAAGAAAATGGTCGTCCAAGAGGATAATCCAAATACTGGGGACGTTCAGGAGAAGACGGAGAGTACTCCGGTGGCGGCAGAGCCGCCCAAGATCTTCACGGTGGAGAGTAAGTGGCCCAGTCGGCTTCAACCCACTGCCAGGTGGCTCAGACGACCAGCTCCCTTTAACCTAAAAGTCTGTATGCTAATGCCCTGAACTTTCACTCTCGCTGCAGTTCTGCACATGATTAAGGATGCCCAACAGCAGCATGGTCTGCGCCACGGCGATTTCCAGAGGTACCGCGGATACTGCACCCGCCGCATCCGTCGATTGAGGAAGGCCCTGAAGTACCCCCAGGGCGACAAGCGGCACTTTAAAAGACGCGACGTGACCATTGGCCAGTTGACCGGCAAGAAGGCGGACGAGCGTTTCATCCACATACCGTTGATTAGCGCCGAGCGCGCCTGGGCGTATGCCATGCAGCTCAAGCAAGAGTCCAATACGGAGCAGCGAAAGCGTTTCCATTTGGTCAACAAGCTGCGCAGGGCCTGTTTTTATGCCCTCCAACTCCAGGAGTTGTGTAATGTAAGCTGTAACCCACTGTTATGATTTATATATATTGATCTTAATTGATGATGTTCATGTAGACGGAGGCTTTCGACGCGCGCACTAAACTGGAATGCGAGGCCTATGTTGCCTGGATGCACGGAACCCTGCATTTTGAATTGCAGCTATGGAAAACTGCTGGCGAGCACCTAAAGCGCGCCCAGGTGGTGTACGAAAACCTGGGCAAGGCTCTGCCCGATGATGAACAGGAGCTTTACCGCGCCAAGGTTAATGAATTTACGCCCAATCTGCGCTACTGCGCCTACAACATCAGCGGTGGTGCCAGTGGCGGCAAGATCGACGAGATTCTGGAGCTGCGCGCTCAGGGAGTGCTTGAGAATCTTGATGTACTGGTCAGTCAGACAAAGACGGAGAGCAGCGAGGGCCTGCAGACGATCGACTGGCGCGGTCGCAAGGTCACCGTGCGTCCGGAGAAGGTGCGTTTGTTCCTGCTCAGTGCCCAGGAGTTGGACAAGTCGCTGGCCAAGACCACCAAGCAGGATGCAAAGATAGAATTGATTGAGCGTATTTTGATGGACTGCAAGGATGCCATCCAAGCCGTTCGCGACGAAATCAAGCAGGATCCTAAGCTGCGTTCGTTAACCACAGGCCAGACCGTATCCGGCGTGCAATATTTATTGGCTTATTTGAGTTATATTCGCCATAGTCGTACGCTACAGCGTAATCTTTGCCTAGTGGAGCAGGTAGGCTTGTCAAAATATTGTTAATTTGCAAACTTACGCATCTATTTTTCCTCAAAAGGCCAAGCTCAACTTCGATGATCCCAACCAGCAGTCACAGCAAAATGTGGGCGACGGGAAACGCGTGCGACCCCAGGATTTGGCTCGTCTGTACGAAATCATCCTGCAGAACGTGACGGAAATGCAGCAGATTAACGGTTTGGAGGAGGACGCCAAGTACCAGAGCGAGGTGGAATACCTGGCCATCACCTTCAAGGCCTTCCGCTGCTACTACATTGCGCTCACACTCATTGACATGAAGAAATGGAAAGAGGCTGTAGCGCTGTACGAACGCGCATCAAACTACGCCACCGAGGCGCTGAAAGGCAAGACCAGTCCGGAGTTTCAGCTGCAGGAGGAACTCAAAAAGGTTGTGTCCGCCATTGACGGTTGCAAGTTCTCCGCCCATGCATACAGCGTGCTGGAGGATGACAACAGCGAGGAGGCCGGAACCACCACCAAGTCGCAGAAGACCACGAAACCTTTGTATGAGCGTTTGTCGCTATACAAGGAGGATCAGTCACTGCACACCAAGACACCCAACGTGTATAAGCTCACCCCTGATATGGAGCCCATACCCTGCAAACCGCTTTTCTTTGACCTGGCCATGAACTACGTGGAGCTTCCCTCGCTGGAGGACAAACTGGAATCGCCCGGCAAGAAAGGACCCTCCATTACCGGCATTGTCAAGGGATTCCTCGGATGGGGCGGCGGCGGAAACAAGTGAAATTGATACTAGCCACTACGATCCACTCTTCTGGAATTCCACGCATCCGTGTTACACTTATAAAGCCTTCAGATCCATGTCCACCCTGCGGTATGTCCGTTGTCTTTTATAAGTTAATTGTTTTGGCTTTTACCCCCGCCAGATTTGTTTTTTCTACGAAACTTTTGTAAGTTAAAATTTGAACAACTATTCGGTAATAAAGGAACCTTTAAGAGAGAGCTATTGTTCCTCGAGGGCAAAACTAGCGTCTATTTCTTGTGAACACTAAAATTAATACGTTAAATCTATTACATTACTATGAATACTTTTCCATTGCTTCTTTTTACATGTTGAGATAGCCCAGTTCGTAGAATTCCATCACCAACTCCCGGATGCGCAAATGGTACTCGGTAGTGAGCGTCTGGGTGCACTTGATCTCCTTACCCGTAAGATTCTGCTCACTCATCACGTCCAGATTGGGCAGGTTATTCGGATCGAAGGTTACAGCTGGCAGGATCCACATGCCGATGGCCAGTCCATAATGCACCTGACGTACATAATCCGAACTGAGACGCTGCAATGAGAATGCCTCACATAGCTCTTCTAGCCTTTCCGCAGCGGCTGTATCCTCCAGCTGATGCCGTAGTTCCTCACTCAGTGCCTCCGAGTAGGCGGCCAGCAGGGTGTCCGTGTGCACATCCCTCAGTGGCCTTCTCGTGCTGGTGTAAATGAAGTGGAGAATGTCAAATACAGGCGACGACTTGCGCATGGCCTGCAGGTCGAAGAAGATCACCTCCTCCGGCTCAGAACGGAACATAATGTTGTTTACCCAAAGATCACCATGGCAGATCACACTGTTTGGAGCCGCTGCAGTGGCATTAATCTCGTGCTTTAGTTTCTGAAACAGATTGGAACGTAGTTCCTTGAGCAAACGAATAGGTGTGGTCAAGCAGTCGTCTGCATTGGCGCCGCCTAGACTTTCCAGGGCCTGCTGCACGGAGGTGTCCAGAATGGTGGCGTAAAAGTCCGTCGCCTCATCGCAGTAGACAATCTCTTGCAGATGATCAGCATGATGGGTGAAGGAAGAGGACTCCAGTTCTTGGGCGGCTAGCGAGGCAGCATGGAGTTGTGCAAGTTTCTGAAAATAGATGACGCTAAATAACTATGGCTTACAGACTATATGTAAGTCCTTCACTCACTTACCTTCATCACTAGAAGGCAGTCGCTCAATTCCAAGCCCGCCAGCCGATCCTTCATGCGAAAACCCAACGCCTTGAGGTCCTGAAGCACAATGATGGGCTCTCCGCCGTCCGAATCCCTTCGATCCTGACTCTCCGCAATGTGGCACACCGGAAACAGCTGGTGGCGACTGTGGGCTGCTAATAGGGGCGCCAAATGCCGGTAAGCGTTGATCTCGTTGCTGAAGGCCTCCTCGCACCGGTAGAGCTGACGGCGTGAAAGGCTCGCAATCTGCCGCTTGACAATGACCGTGACTGGGCAGAAAAAAAGTTGAATTTTCCAATTAAATATATACTTTGAAAAACTATATAATTGAATGTTCATTGCACAAGGATTCACGTATGAAATCATCAAAGAGATGTGTTATCTAAAAAATGCTCGATGCAAAGTTGGTGGAAGGGAGGGAGGAAATGCCGAGCAAAACAAACTGTGTGAGAGCGGCTGGGCGAACAGCTGACTTTTGTTTACGTCGCTAGCTAAAATTGTTATTTATGAATGAACTGCGCTGGCCTTGCGTGCGTGAGAGCGAAGTGGGGGCTCTTATTCGCTGTCTTTCTCTCTCTCTCTCTACCGCGAGTGTGCAAGTGTGTGAGTGTGCGTGCTGACCTTTAGCAAATCTATATTACTTATTCGCCTGGCTGTATGGGTGCAATGCATTTAGAATGCGTGTAACAAGGTCAACCCACTCGACGCCGCCGCTCAGCGGGCAAACATTTAAGCTAATATCGCTGCAATTAAGGTTTGAACTGGATTATACTCTATGCTGGGTACAAAATAAATATTATTAGTACGCTTTACTTAATAAATAAGAGTTCACATAATATTTCAACAACTCAGCGTTGAATAAATAACAACGTGGTAAAACATTTTCCAAACAATGCGAGCGAACAAAGAGAACTACTTTAATTCAAACCACATTGCAGGGTATTGCAGAAAAAATCAATGCGTTGGATTTAAAGGCGTCTGACGCCTGGTGTTTATAAACTATTTTACCGATATCACTGCCAGCCTGCTCCGGATCCTGATCCTGCTCCTTTCCTGCCGCTGGAGCCTGCGTGATGGTAACACGCTTCACCACGGACATGTAGTTGTCGCCACTGCTACTGCCCGCGGAGCACGCGATGTGGGCAATGCTAAAGGACACCAGTTTGCTCCGGCTGAACAGTTGGCGCAGGTGCTCCGCGTTCTCCTCGTATTGATTGGTGCCATCATAGCCACCGGACGAATTCACGGTCAATGCCAAGCCGCCATGCGAAGGACCTGCTGTTGGGGCCGCTGCCAAAGCCATTCTATCCACTTCACTTGACTGAGCGATGAGGAATGGTTCGTGTTGGTGGGCTGCTGCCAAATCGTTTGCTAGAAGTTGGTTTCTGCCGCTGCAGCATTTTCTTTCTAGCACTGACACAAATTCAAATTGAGTCCAGGTCAGTTTTTTGTTGTCGTAATTATTATACAATTTCCGCTGGTCAAAAAGTTGGTTATAGCACACCTATGCGAAACGTGTGCAAAATGTGCGGCAAAGCAACCGCCCGCCAAACTGCCAAACGTCGACTGCCAGTCCAAGTGCAATGGAAACTCACTAGAGAGCCCAAATAGCAGTGAGAATCGAAACGAGAACCCGCGGAGAAGGAGAATCAACACTGCTCTCAATTCTCTCGCCCGTCGCTCGGTTCTAAATTTGAAATTGCATTTTGAAAGCCGGTAGGAGGTGGCAGGCCGACTCTCGTTCAGGGTCACCGCACTGCACTGCACTTTCACTCGACTCGGACTCGGGTGCGTATACTTTATGCGCCGCCCCGCCAAAGCGGATGTTGCTCATACGCCGCGTCGGCCGAGAGTCGTTTGCATTGGCCCACCAATTCGTGCACTTGAAATTGCATTGGCCGTCCTTGGCAGGCACTGCGTGTGGGTCGAGGCAATGGGCATAAAAATTAAGCGAAAAACATATGTAATAAAAGGGGTTCATGTTTTGGAAACATCCACAGTACTGCCTCTGTAACTTAAAAACACCAGTTGCCATGCTAGTCATTATTGGTAATAAATAACATATAATAATTATACAAGACTTAACACGTAAATAAAGATGAAATAAAGATGTAAGTAACTTCATTCCATCATGTAGAATGATGACTTTGACACCTTATATAACTTTATTCTATCTTGTAAAATGTTGATTTTGGAATAAGACCTATGATTATGAGATGTGAGCACCGAACCCATGATAAATATGAATTCATAATTCCTACAAATATCCATCTTACACACACAGAGTTCCACTGAATTTTCGGTCACGTAGCTGCAAACAAAGCCTAATAAAGTTCAAAGACCAAGCTCATTAACTTTGGCCGCAGACAACAATGCAGGGGCCAGGCAATTTGTTTATTTAATATGCATCTACAAAGTCGCTAAATGGCCATTAATTAAATATCAAATCTGCCACGGCCAATAAATGAGGGACCACTCCCAGAGACGAGGCGAATTCGAAGTCCAAAACCTAACCAACCTGAGCCAAACAATGTAAGTAAATACCAATCGCAGGCCAAGATATAGGTACGCACCTGAGATCGGGAAAGTTCAAGGCTGCCATCCGGCAATCCGGCAAGTGACTATGGCAATTATCCAATCCACTGCAGGCAACTCCGGATAATGCTTCCGCCTAAGCTGATCGGTTGAATAACCCCAGATATATGCTGGCCCGACACCCGTGGCAAATTAGGGTCAAACATGTGCAGCCACCGAGCGCGGCTGGTGTTTCAGACTTTACTGGCTCAGTCAGCATTAAATTCAGGGTCAATCGGCACTTTCAAAATCGCACAAAGCTCGGATTGAGTCGGACATGGATTCTGAGCAAACTTGTCAATCATTGTAATCGCTGTACTACCTATACAGTGCACGAAATCGGGCATTCGTTGTAAGAAAGCTTACATAAGACTAAGTCATTTGAAAATATATTTAATTCTGCGAAAAGTCAACTGCAAGCTCAGATGGACTGATATGTTATATATGACAGCTGTCATTTAAATAAGATAGTAATTAATAACCTCCGAATAATGCAAAACCAATTAAGTTATCTATTCGTCGAGCTATTGTTTTTCCGAGTATATGTATATGGTGCACAAAGACATATATCTGTGCGACTTTTGCCATGCGTAACACCGACTGGCAATCCGACCTTTTTTGGGGGGCACTTTTATGGAGCATGAGAAACGGAGACAGATATCATTGCTTTTAATTGCCCGATCTGAGCGCCTAGGCCTAGGTCAGTCTGTACCAGATTGCAGTCCCACTACTCCCCACCACCCCACTCCACTCCGCTCAGCTTCGACCATAATTAATTTAATAAAATGTAAAGCAGCCTGGTCTGAAAAACTTGACTCATTCTCGGCGCTCAGAAGCGACTTTGAGCGGGATTCGAAAATCGGTTGACTCACAAAGTTGAGTTCAACTCGTTTTTGTGGCATTCAACGGCAAGCGAATAAAAGTTCGCCGTCTCGATATTCTATGATCAGTTTACAGTCTCAACTTCACCCAGGTGTTCCAGTTTCGTTTGAAGTGCTTCTTTCGAGGATTAGCCCCTAAAAAAAGTCCATATCAAAGTGAGTGTCGTGTGCTGTGCGAGTGGGTGATTTGGAGAACCGAAATTCGTTTCGGTTGTGTGGGATCGTAACCTTGACTTTGGCTGAATCAACGTATCAATTTGGACTTGGAATATGTAAATGCATTTAATGGCGCATAATAAAAATGCACGTACAGTGGCTGTGATCATTAAAAACTAGAAAGAACTAGAGAGTGTTCAATATCTAACGAATGTCACCTTTTCAAGGATTATTTCAGGGTTTCAGTTCGCAGTGAATAATCAACGACTTTAAAGGATAATCGCTATCATATTATGATTTAAATACATTTCATTTCTACTGAGGTTTTCTTAATTAAATTTCCAAAAGTTGCTGAAGGCCAAAAAATAGTCCCAGAGAGACCACTGTACTTATGTATATCTCAAGCTGCGATTGCTTTGTTGAGACCAAATTGGAGCACTCTACGCTTGACAAATAAAGCTCGCCATTTAGTTCGCGGCCAGTCCAATTCTTATCAATAAAAAAGCCAGTTCCAGCTGCAAAAAAGTTCATGGATTAACAACTGTAACAGTTTGAGCCAAGATCTCCGCGTTGCCCACTCCATTGGCCATATGCGATAATTGATTTTCCCGTACATAATTTATGACGCACGAAACTGACAGCCGACTTGTAGATTAAAAACTGCCACTGACCAGCGGCAATAAATCTGTCCGTATCGCTTTATTAGAACGTTGGACAATAATGCCAGCTCCTGCTCCTTTTCTTCCCCTCCCTGTAGCCAATCATGCCGACCGCCTGCCAAGTAATGCTGCTCGCTGGATGCCTGCTTCTGGCCATGAGTTCGGTTCGGGCCCAGTTCTTCTACCACCAGGCGCTGGGTCTGCCGGTTGCGCACGCCTACGAACCGGCCAACCAGTACCAGGGATATGCCACGGCCGATGCCCATCCCGCGGTGGTGCGCAATGCCCAGTGGGAGTCTGAGTTGCCGGCTGAGCTGTCGAAGAGTGCGCGGTTCTACAATGATCCCGTGATCGCCGCCAACCTGGCCAAGGAATCCCTGCTTACGAAGAAGGAAATGGCAGTCGTACATCGCGAGGCTGAGAAAATTCCGCGCGAACAGGTGTACAAGCTCTTCAAGAACGCCGGCTACCTGAATAGCAGATAGAACTCACGAAGCCAGATGAGTTCCGTTTCCCACGTGCCTTGTTGTATTTTAGCTTGTAAATTGTTAATATATTGTACATAGTACTATACATATTAAATGTTTTTTCTATAAATGACCGTTGGATTATAGTGACTGATTGGGTGATTTTGGTATAAAAGTTGGATTAAAATGCTAAACAAGCGTTCATTGTATATACAACTCGGCTCCGTTTCCTGGGAGTGTGGCAAAGACCACTTCGCAAAAGTTGTTGGGCTGATGACGCTCCAGGAGATGGGTAGGCAATTGAGCATAGTAATCGCGCTTCAAAGCCTTTATGTACGCATCAGCTGCTTCTACGGAATCGCACATGGCCACTATACAACCGCCCCAACTGAAAACCCATATTTAATTAAGTTTAGAGTGCCACTAGGATATCAGTTTTCTTACCCAGCTCCTGTGACTCGAGCGCTAACCTTCTGCTGGTTCGATATGGCAATCAGGCGCTCCACATCAGGATGAGAGCATTCGTAAAGCTCCCGCAAACTCTCATGGGATTGTCGCATAAGTTCACCTAGCTGCTTTGCACCTTCCTTATTGGCTCCGCCGGCCAGTTCCTCACAAATTTTCCGGAATTTGGCCACGCGACCGGATTCTGTAAGACGGAAACAATGTTACAAATTTGAAAACTGATCTTGCAATTTTTCAGACAACAATTGAATGTCAACGCCTTATTAATTGAGTGCAATTATTCATTTGGTGATCAATAAACCTAACGTACATGCAATATTTCAGATTAAATCTGAAATCCTGATTGTAAATTATTAACCTACCCTGAATAACATGCAGAGCACGTTGACGCAGCTTGAACTGCTCCATGTGCCGAGTGTTGGCGGAGAGGAATTTGGTTTCCAGTTCCTGCTCGGTGACTCCCAGCTCCTTGCAGATATCCGCTCGCGTATAATTGCTCTTCGTTAAATTGTCCTTTATCAACTTCTCGAAAGTCGCGTTATCCATTTGGCACGCCTCCTCCAGGTCGATGAAGCGCACAATGTCCTCCCAGTTGATCAAACCCTTACGCTTGGCCAGCCATCTAGTGGCCAGTCGGCATTCAACCACTCGCTCATTGTAGTCCGATGAAGCAGCCTTGTTCTTTTGAGCCAGACTGTTGGCCACAACGAAGCATTTGCCCGCTGGCAAGGTCACCGGAGTGCCCTTGAGCTTGGGATGGAACTCGATATGATGGGCGCAGCCAACTCTTCCCAAATAGGCTATTGCCTGATCCATACCACCACTGTGCGTTCCAATATACTGCTCACACATGGCCGAAATGGAGGCCAGCTCCCTGCGATCTAGTTTCTTGCCCTGGACGTGGGCGGTGGCCAAGACAGCGGAGCTGACCATGGCACTGGAACTGGAGAGTCCTGCCGCCAAGGGCACATTACCGTCCACAGCAATGCGCATTCCTATGGGCTTCCACTGGCTGCCGAGGCTCTCCTGTATTCCCTTGATGCCGCACAAAAAGTAGTTATACCAAGCAGGTCCACCACTCTTTGGAAGCTCGATTCTAAAATACCAAAAAAGTAAGCTATTAAAGTTTTCAAATAATCATTCTTATTTTTCAAATCTGCCTACAAGAATAATACTATTTGGACTTATTTATACCATATTCTTTTAGATAACGCTTTAAAAGCTGATATTGCTATTATACAAAATTAAATGGAAAATTTTCCAGTGTTTAAGGTCGGTTGTTATCATTCATTATGATTCACCCACCTGAGCGTTTTGAGATCCGCATCGTAGCCCGCAAACTTCGCTTC